CCCAGTAGATAGTTGTATGTCATAGCTGCACATCCTTCTAGTTGCTGTATGTGGGACACGGCCTCAGCATGGCTGGAGAAGCGGTGCGTTGGTGCGCGCCCAGGATCCGAACCCGGGCCGCCAGCAGCGGAGTGCGAGCACTTAACTGCTAAGCCACGGGGCCGGCCCTCTAATAATCTTTTTTAAATTGAAGTTATGTTCAAGGAAAACTAAAAATTATTTGTGGGTAAGGTAGACACGTTAAGTCAACGAACAGAAGGGGTAGATTCTGAAAGAATTAAGATGACGGAGGTGAACCAATCATATCGTTTGTCGAGTCCTTTAACATTTCTTTTGGCTTATTTAAAAATTTCCACGAAGCACCACCTCCTGCACGGCCTTGAAAAGTCTGGCTGAGAGTCAAAGCCTAGCTCAACTCTTCACTGCATGAAGAAAGACTGTAATTTGAAGACACCACATGAGGCTTTAAAAGATACTAAAATAACGTTTTAAAACAAACTCTTTTAGGGGTTCATAATAACATGTTAAACACTGAATCGGCAAATTTTTTAATTGCTTTATCTAATTTGAGATTTTCTAACTTGATCTGTAATACTCACCGTGCAGGAAGTTCACATATTTGGTTATGGCCAATATCCAAAACTTCTAGCTTTCGACTTTCACATATCCATTCAGGTACGTTTTCTAAGCGGTTCCTAAATATAAGAATATACAATTTTTTCTTTGATTGGAATTTGGCCTAAAATACGGTTTAAAACTCAAAATAATTACATAGAATAAATAAAACTTCAAATGAAATACCAAAGTACAGTGAGTATAAATCAAAAGGATGTGTATTCACTTTAATCTAGAAGCAAAACAAATTGTGATAAGGAATAAGAAATAGAGAAAAAGTAGGAAAGGACATAGTTACATCATTTGCACCATCTCTAAAGTCTAAAAAAAAAGTCTAATTCCTAGAATTGCTATCCTAGAAAGTCTACAAACCCATTCAAGCTTAGGGAGAGGATATCATATATCAGAAAACACACACACACTCTTCCAGTTAAGTAAAATAGTCAAATGGCATAAAAGTTTTATTTTCCAATTTACATTTTTACCCTTAACATTGAAATACTTCTCAATCCCAGTAGGCATGAAAAAGCACAGCCACAGATAAATGGGAAGAAATGGCAGCACTGAAAAGGCACACTGACCCTCAAGACTCAGAATTAATGATTTGAAAACATCTGTTTAGATGTTAGATGGTAATTTCAATTACCAGAAACAAGGGAACTAAACTAATAGTAACTTTAATTATTAAATGAATTGACCACTTCTTAGCCAAAATCTACTATATTTGAATGTCTCCCTAGTCACAGATAGCTATTAGTCTTTTACCTGCTTTTTTAAATATGTGAAACGACCAGGCACAAAGAATCTAAAATGGTATGAATACTATGAACACAATTCTTTAAAAACAGATGAACAATTCTGTGAAAATATGATGCTTGGAACAAGGACTATATTAGAGCAAAAGTTTTTACTATTATATCAACTTTTTAATTAAAATATAGAAAAGGTGGCATTATTTTCTGCTTAGTGTCTATATAGGCACACATGCTTCTGGCTTTGAAAGCCTAAAGACTGACACACTTAATTATTTTATTTTCTAGTAGTTAACCAACTTATCTTTACTGAGTTAACATCTCAATAAGACAGGAGAGTGAAAGTGTCCCTCAGTATAAGCAACCTCAATACAGAGCAAGAGAACTTCTATAAGTGATAAAACAGCCTGGAACTTTGAACTTGAAGAACTCTAAGGACCTAGTAAACACTATGGTGAGTGACAGCCCAGTTCCTTTAGCTAACATACTCACACAAAAGGAGGAAGGTGAAATACTCAGAGCTACGTCAGGGGAAGCAGAGATTCTCTAAGAGAAAGTCCTATAGTGAGGGAGGTGGATGAGGTAGAGCATGTTACAGTGAGGATTCTGGACATGAGAGTTACAAAAGAAAGATGGAAAGTATTTAAGTGGCAGAATTCAGCAAGAAGCATGACACAAGAGTTTTTAATTCAGTCTCACTTAGGGGTTTCAACGGGAACCAACTGACAATTACATCCTATAAATAAAAGGGAAATAGATTCACTCTATGGCCATCTCTCTGGAAGAAATCTGTTCAAGATAATTACATGGACCCATGTATGCAAACCCCACTCCTGCACTGGTCTTTAATTTAAAGGCTGAAGATAGGGGCTGGCCTGGTGGCATAGCGGTTAAGTTTGTGCGCTCTGCTTCAGTGGCCCAGGGTTCGCCAGTTTGGATCCTGGGCGCAGACCTACATACCGCTCATCAAGCCATGCTGAGGCAGCGTCCCACATAGAGCAACTAGAAGGATGTACAACTATGACATACAACTGTCTACTGGGGCTTTGGGGAGAAAAAAAGAAAAAAGGAGGAAGATTGGCAACAGACATTAGCTCGAGGCCTATCTTCCTCAAAAAAAAAAAAGAAAAAATAAAGGCTGAAGATAACAACATTTGAGGTTGACAGAAAAAAGAAAAAAGAACTTAATCAGGTAATGTCTGACTTCAAGTTCATTAAACAAAACTCTCTGACATGAATTTAGTAGGAAATGCATAAAACACTGCTCATAAATGATTTTATAATTATAAATTTCTAATAAAATTGTAATTGTAATAATTCTCACAATAGCTAAATTCCGACACATTCTTACAGAATTATGATCAAGAATATGGCTTATGCACTTTCATGAGTAAAGACAACTTCTGCACTTGACAAATTACATAGCAGTTGTATCATGAGTTAACAGTTGTCATGTTGAGAGGGCCATATACTCCCATGTACTGTGACTGTTCAGAAAATTTGGGGTATTTCCTCTGGAATTACGTTAAAAGTGAGTTTCAATTTTAGTGTGTTGAGATTATTAAAGTCTAATTTGTGCAAATACATGCTTTGTGCCTTCAGGAAAGTCTACTATAATATTTGTGGGAACTGGAATAAATATGACACACTGCAGTAGTGACTTTGCATAAAAGGTGAGATGGTCAGCCTACTAGCAAATGAGCTGAGAAAAGTGAGCAGGCTGTACAGAAATCCTACTTTGGTAGGCTTAGTCGCTACTTTCTAAGGGCTCTTAGCAACGAGATGTATGTAAAAGAAGGGGGAAAAAAATCAAGAGATATAGCACAATATTTTTTTTTAATGAAATTAACATCATTTCAAGGAAAGACAGTGATGAAGATACAGTTAGATATGATTAGTCATATGGTTAGATATGGTTAGTATAGTTAAAGAACTACTGGACCTTCCAGCCATATGACCCTTAACTCACTAATCTTTCAAGCCCAAATCTGGCATTCAAATTGGTGTCCACACCGACACCTTGATTCTTCTGGTTTGAACTACAGTATACAAATGTAGTATTTTAATTGACAGATATTTACATACATTTTCAGAGGATAAGTAAAAACTATTGAATTTAATTTTATTATTTACCTTCAAAATATATAAAAGTTCTTATGCATAAGCTCAGACAGAATTATCTAAATAATTTTCAAGCAGACTCGAGTGCTCTAGGACTTGGCTTCTTACCTTGAAACGTCCATGTAGGACAGATAATTTGGAACTGGGTAAACATCAAGTTGAACGAGTTCTAGGAGGCGGAAAAAAACACAAAAACATTACCATTCGAGTGACACAGAGACTCTTTTTGTATGTAGAATATCATTACTGTGCTTTATTCGCCATTGTTTGTTTAGGTTAGGAAGTACAATACATCTGTTTGTTCAACTTTGAAACTACAGGAAAGTACAGAGAACTTCTAATTTAATCACAAGATCTTACTCAGAGATTGAAATAAATCACTCATTCTACTTTCCTACCTCTTACCTAGCCACTTACTGTGCTCTCCTCTTGTTATGCATGCTAAATTTTATCTGGAAGATTAACTGTATGAATACTGGTTTTTTTAACATTCAAGGTTCCTTGCATAAAACAAAATGCATCCTGGCTTTTGCTTTTTTCACTCTACTGAAGCAGTTCTCCTGAGGGTCACAAATGACTTCCTCTACTCAAATCTGAAAACCCCTCCTCAAAACTGTATGAAATGTGACACCACCATCCACCTAGGGCTTTGTTTCCCAGACAGAGTAGTTTCTAGATGTTCTTCTGCCTCTTTAAACACTTACCAAGTAATTCACAGGTTCAGCTCCTATCTGATTGCCCACTCTGGCCCCAGCTAACTGTGAGGGTTTTGTAAGTCTACTTTGGTACCAGCTCTTTTCTCTTTTCCAGTTACCTTACTTCCATGGTTTCAGGTACCTCCTCTGAGCAGATGAGTCTGAAATCAACATCTGTAGTCCTGACTGAAAATTTGTGTTAGCTCACACGAATAACATCACAACAACCTGGATTAGCAGAGGAATGGATCACTCCACTCTTCTCCCATAAATGCACTCTGCACACTACTTTCATATCAACAGTCTTATAGCATCACTTCCATCATATGCCTCCTCCATGTAAGAGTCTCCACTGGTTCTCTATAGCTTACTGTACTAGCTTCAAAGATTCCCCAACTGACTCCAAGCTATGCATCCCATAATTACTTCTTACCACTCTCCAGCAGACACCTATGAGTTTAGAATCCCCTGTCTTCTCCCATCTGCCCAACAAACCACATTCAGATTCTTTCCTCTTCAACACACTCTGTGCCTCCTGGCTATCCAAATCCTATAACCCTTCAGTGACCTGTAGCTATCTGAGGTTTGGCTTATTTCTCCAGTGAGATGACAGTAAACTCATTTAAAAAAATCTCTTATCCTTTAGAATTCATGCACTACACTATGTATAAACCAAGTGCTTGATAAACATTTGTTCAACCTGTAATGGTAAATACTTGTTTTCATTCAGTTGTCTGATGGTAGGGAATTGAATCTTCACTTTAGCAAACATGACCATATGACCTTTTCTTTTTTAGAACTGCCATGATTTCCGAATTGTACGGAAGAGATCTTATTAAATGAGTAAGACTCTTGCTTTGTGGTGTCCCTGTGGGTATATAATTTAGGTTTCTCTTAAGGTGAGTTCCTTTGTTAGTGGAACATGAAACCTGCGAGTCCAAAAGGGACCTTCCCTTCACTTTCACTCTCCAGTATTAAATCAAGGTTCCAGATTTACAACCTTAACAGGAGAGCCCAAGAAATAGCTCACCCCCCACCTTCAAGCAGAGGAGCCAAATCAAAAGTGAGAGTAACATCTAAATATCACTACATGAGAAAAACAAGTTAGAAACTATAAAATCTTCCTTTTTGATTCCTTTAAATACCAAACTAGCATTCTTCTTTTATGATTTTTAATCTCAGCAAAATTTGACACTTATCTTACTAAATGAAGAAAGAAAAATCAAAGTGAGGCAGAGATGATGGCACGAGGTAGATTCTTGGAACCAAAAGAGAAACTTCGATGTGGTCTGTTACATACCATTAGAAGAGGCATAGAGTGCTTTTAGGAAATAGCCACAGATATTTAATGTCACCAGTTGATTCCTTTCACAGTGTAAAACTTCGATGTTGTTGAAAATCATAGCATCTAGATCACTAAGCTTATTGTCACGCAGATCCAGTTGAGTGACATGCTGGAGAAAGTCCACTTCATCTGCTATTAGCTGTCTAATTATGTTCAGTCTTGAGAGGAAAAGGACACAAATAGACTATAATTAACTGCAATGCTACAAATTAATGGCCACACCCTAACATGGTGACATAACAAGAAGGGACTCAAGTCTTACTATATTATAGTCCTCCATGATTTCTTTAATCTCATCATTAGCCTTCCTTAACTGGCCAGATTCTCTGGCTATTTTTAGCTGTAACTCCATAAGGTCCTAACCTTGACAATATATTCTGAAATACGATTTAGACCACGAAGGCTGGAAGAGAAGCGTCCATATTGATTTTACCTTAATTCATTTCAAGAGGGAAAAAAATCCATTTAAACATTCATTTCCAAAGAATTTGGTCGAAAGAACACAAGAAATAAAACCCAGAACAACCCATTAAGCACATTTCAACTACATTGAATATTTAAGGGAGGAGAGAGGATGAACGAGCAGGTAGAGGAGCAGCCATATAGGACAGAATTAAAGGGTGAACTTGGAAAAAAAAATGAATGGGAGCCACATATGCACCAGAGATAAGAATGCAAATATCTGGATTTTCAACTGGCTCAGGACCAAGGATTAATTACTAAAACTATCTCCATTTTTAAAATATTGCTTGAAAGAGCAAAGAGCAGAAAATACTGAAATCTGGCCTCTAGGATTCACTGAGAAATCATAAAACAAAGGACAAGGATGGGATCAACAGTCTAAGATAGAGCAGGGCACAGGGAAAACCTGGCAGAACCTCAGCCATGAGAGCTAGTTAGCCAACGCACTGAAGCTGCAGTGGGTAAGCTGCCAAGAAGACTTCAGTAAGTAGTAAGAGGGACTAGGACTCAGTATAACAAAGACACATTTAGCTTCAAAGGGGAGAAAAATAGATGAAAATCTCAATTCCAGGTTTGCCAGGCTATGCCCAACTCCTTCACAAACAAACAAGAACCTTCTACTTATTACAAAGGCAACGAAGTGCAGGGATCAGGCACTTGGTTAGAAGAGCATTAATATAAAGGCTGGAGCTTAGGAAAAAAACCAAAATTTCTCTGTAGTGACTTTCTGCCTTTTGAAAAAATAAAATGAAATGATGGTAACTGAATTATTAATAGCAATATCATAAAGCCACCGAAACCGAAGGATGAGTGACAGACAGCAAAGGGCTAGGATTCCCCAATCTGCAAACACAGCATATGGCCTCTTCAAATGTCCCCAAGAGGGTTTTGTTTTTGCTCCTTCTCTTTTTTTATTCCAGGTTTTAAGATTAAAAATCTTGCCTCAACCCAGCAATCTGCCTATTTCCAAATGCTCGCTGGATTACTAGAATATGAATACAGAATAAAAAGAAAAAACAAATCTCATTTTGGATACAACAGACTGAAAGAATTGAAAAAACGCCCCATGTTGTCCCTAATCTACACCTTATGTTACCTTCAAGTGGCATTATCATCTTTATTTGAAATAGCTCCCCACCACAATACCATTGTACTAACATTAAAATAATTAAACGGTTGGTTTAATGAGGAGACAAAAGAAAATCTGTAACGAGAAAGAAATTATTCCCACTATTCAGTTTAATTTGTCAAGTATTGGGGCCAGTCCAGTGGCGTAGTGGTTAAGTTTGCACGCTCTGCTTCGGCGGCCCAGGGTTTGCAGGTTTGAATCCCGGGTGCGGACCTACACACTGCTCTTCAAGCCATGCTGTGGTGGCATCCCACATAGAAAATAGAGGAAGAGTAGCACAGGTGTTAGTTCAGAGACAATCTTCCTTAAGCAAAAAAGGAAGATTGGCAACAGACGTTAGCTCAGAGCCAGGCTTCCTCCCCTAAAAAATAAATAAATAAATTGCCAAGTGTAATCAGGATCCCAATATCAAACGTTTTCAGGCTCACACAATAATACAACTATTTAAGATGAACCTTTAAAGAGGCAAAATGTGGTTAAAATTTCCTTCTAATAATCCCCTCAATTAACACAGCCATTTTATTTATTTCATAAATATTCACTGAGCATTTACTATGTGTAGATAAGCTGTGTGAAAGAGCATTTTATGTTCTAGTTCCAGTTTGCTGCTCAACACTTTGCATATGAGCCTGAGTAAGTCACCTAACATCTCTGTTAAATCTAATTCTAATCTGTAAAATGAGGACTAACACCTTCCTTGTCTACAAGGCAGCTGAGAAAATGAAATGAATATAGGTGCCAGTACTTTGCAAATAATGAAAGGCTATGGTGATGATGGTGACAATGACCTATGGCTTTGTGTTCATAGGAGATGAATAAAACAAGGTGTTTGTCAACAGATTTGGTAATTTAGTGAGGAAAATCATATATGTTTTAAAATATGAAGTATAAAGACTACCAGTATGTGATAAGTGCCAAAATGATGTATAAAGACAGAAAGTGGTCAGAAAAGATGCTACGGAAGAGGAAGCCTCTTATCTGAATCCCAAGGGTAGGCAGAACTTAACAGACGTAAATGGAAGAAGAAAGCAGTCCATGAGGGAGAGCAGAACGGCCTTTGGAGTGAAGAGAAGAGCATGGAGAGGAGTTCATGCATGAGTGCAGCACCCCTCAGCAGTGCAGGGTATGTGAGAAGAGTGAGAATATGGCTACAAACGTGGGTTACTCAATTAACATTTATCAAGTACTGTATCTACTAAGTGCTAACACTGGTGGCCCAAGGCTAAATAAGAACAGCGCTTCTCAAGTTATCTAGGGTGAAGGATTTATTTTCTAAACTTCTTATCCATCACAGACTGATGTGCAGTCATACTGCACAGGGCCAGTACACAGCTCACACCACAAGCAGCTCACTGTGCGAGTTTGCCAACTCCTAAACTAGTACTATTCCCTGTACAATGAGATGAGTCTACTTATATGAGTCTATTTGGATATTGTGGCAATGTGAAATCACTATTACGTTTCTAAAATATTAAGTCTCAATTTCTCTGCATATCTCATTGTGGAAAAGTAGCAAACAGTTGGTTTGCCAACACAGGTCAGAAGACTCTACTTTGAGCAGCTCTGAGCTAGAGCCCCATCCTCAAGGGACTCACAGGCTAGTGGGTTGAAACCAGATATGAGAGCTTGAATACCATGAACTAGAGAATTGAAGGCCCTGAGCAAGACTGTGCTTGCCTGAGAGGCTGCACAACGGAAGCAAACGGCTCATGTGGGAGACAACGTTGGCAACGGGAAGGAAAAGGAAGAGACAGAGAGAAACTAGTGCAAAAGAAGAACTGATAGAATCTGGTGGTAGACTAGAAACAGAGTCACAAATTTTGTGTCTGGATACCCAATGAAGTGGTGCTGTCATAAGCAAAAACAGAAATTCAGGGAAAAGAACTGGTTGAATAAAGAAAGAAATTGAACTCTGTTTCACATGTATTTGGCTAAGTGTGTCAATAGGGAAAACCAAGGTGAAATTATCCAGCTGGCAGCTGACACGGAATCAGTCCCAAAAAGAGAAATAAGGGTCAGAGAAAGATTGGGGAATAATTAACACGGAGATGAAAGGTGAATGATGAAGCCCTGAGAGCACAGGCAAGCGCCAAGGCAGAAAACAGAAAGAGAAGTGACCAAGGAGAGAGACGAAGGTAATATCCACATTTTTTTTTGTGAGGATGATCAGCCCTGAGCTAACATCCATGCCAATCCTCCTCTTTTTGCTGAGGAAGACTGGCCCTGGGCTAACATTCGTGCCCATCTTCCTCTACTTTATATGGGACGCCGCCACAGCACAGCCTGATAAGCAGTGTGTCGGTGCGAGCCTGGGATCCGAACCCAGGACGCCAGCAGCGTAGCACACGCACTTAACCATTATGCCACAGGGCCGGCCCCCAATGTCCACATTTTGGACAGACAAGAGAAGGAGGAATTATTAATGATGCCATAGAAAAATAATATCAGACTTAAACAACAGCAATATAAGAAAAAGGATAAGATTAAAAGAAAAATGATGACTTTTAATCTGAAGTAACATTTCCATCTGAAGGAATAAAAAATGCAATCAATAAAATTAGCCCTTTGCTGACAGAAGCTAAGTGAAATTTCCCTTAAATCATTCCACTAGCTTCAATTCAAAATATTAGGGCAGAATTATAAGCAAATCTGACCAGATTTTCCCCTCCTCAGATCAGTGGCCTGGAGGGAAGGAGTTATCTATTCACGATCATTCAACATTTACAGAGTGTCCAAAGTCTATTCTTGTATTTAAATATCCTGTAACTGATCTCACCTAAAAAGACCCAATTAAAGCTAAAAATCTGAAGAATTTGGAAAGGTCTTAATAAGAACAGTTACATCTAGACATAGCAGATTGATCTTATTTATAAGCTAATTCATATCAAGAAAAATGATATCTTCTTATATGTACCAGGTAACTCAGAAATCTTCTCATGCTTGTTACCTGAGGTCAATATGACCACTGTTATAATGCTGAATAAAAGAGGGCTTAAATTCTTGAATTTGAAGGTTTTCTAAATCTAAGTGACTCAGAGGCAAATAATGTTAACAATTTAGAAAGAAAGTTAACAAGACAAAGTGTTCAGTTACCTATCCTGTCACATTCCAATAAGTTCTCCAAGTCAGATCAATTATTACCATTTGTACTCCCTGAATTAAGAATTCTAGGTCTGCCAATTACTAACACTTCCCTAGGTACGACAGCTTGATTCCTTTAGTCTGAGGAAAGGTAAAGCCAAGCAATTCTTTGTCGGACTGGAAGGAATGGGTTTCCTAGACCAAACTACATAAATGGAGAAGAAAGGGGAGCAAAAGATGATCGTTTATACTACGAAACTCAACAGGTCTGAGTGAGGGTCTGGGGTTATCAGCAGAGTGGAAAGTGGGTAGTAAAGCATGGAAAGACCACCTTTGACAAACCGAGAGGTATAAAGATGCCAAGAATAACAGCTGAGCAGCTTCCGTGAGTAGGAAAGAATCCTCAATCAGGAATAATAACAATACATAACACTTACTGGGAGGGTGAGATATTTAACTCAATTCCTTCCAAAACTCTACAAATTAAGTTCTGTTATTAACCGTAATTTAGAGACGAGAACACAGCAGCACAAAGACATTAAATATCTCACCCAAGATTTAACATAGCTAGTATGTGGTCATCAACCCCTGGCTAATGGGGGAGTTAGTCTGGTTGAAAAAGTATCAAATTGGGCAAGTCAGTATTAACTAGTCCAATATGTTGGCAAGCCCAATATGTTGCTTTGCAGGAACTCAAGCCCATGAGAGGCTCTTGTTTTTCTTTAAGAAAGAGAAATTTAGAATAGCTGCCTCCTGTGCACTAGTTCTTGGTGCATTAGAAACTAAACCCGAAAATTACATACTAAGGGATGATTACTGAGCATCTTTGATGTAGCAAGGATTATGCTAGTGGTTTTCAGTTGGAGTTAAGCGTGATCAGGATTCAAAACGCAGGTTCCTTGCTCTTACAAGGGGTGAGAGTGGAGGTTCTAGTTAAACTTGGGCCCAACAAGAGATTATGAGTTTTATATTTTGTGAAGTTTTATATTTTTGTAAACTAAGATCAGAGCCACATGGATGGAGAGAGAGGAAATTAAAATAAATAAGTTAAAGAAATAAATTTAATTTAACGACTGTATTATATTACATTAGAGAAGCCAAGGAAGGAGAAAATTGGAAGAAAGGAGAGATGCTCAATGATGTCAACTGCCTCAAGCCACAGAAGAGGAGGACTAAGAGAAAAATATCCACTTTGCTCTCAACGATATGGTTTTTATTCACCATAAATAGCTCTCTCTGACTCGATGGCCCTATCCATGCAAATTAAAACTGGGTTCAAACTTGAAAAACAAAGTTAAGATCTTCAAGACATATGGTCATTCATTGATGAGAACTTTTTTTTAACGTTTCCTATTGTTAATGATTATTCTTCCCTCAGCATAGAAATAGAAAAATGGGCCCTGATTGCAACTAACCAGCCAGCCTGCCTTGGCAGGAGAATTTCCAAAAGGGCTATACCCTAACACCCTAAATACAAGCTAACCACTCAAATGGGATATAGTTCTTAAAAATGGTTACCTTAGATCCACATGTTTAATGTGAGGCATTTTTCGCAAAGCCTGTAGCCTTAGGGTCTCCATACAGTTTCCAGACATACAAAGTTTATCCACGGCAGTTAATTTCTCCAATACCTCTGGAATGTCAGTGAATTCATTGAAAGAAAGACTGAGATAACTAAGCTGATGCATGTTCTCCAACTCAGCAGGAAGGGCCTGGAGAAAGTTTCCATCCAACAAAAATGTCTGTAAGCTATTCAAGAAAACGTAAGAATTATAAAGAGAACGTGTAAATTTTACATCGTTATTATCAAGATATGAGCTCCATAAGTATAGATCATATTACTAGAAAAAGAAAATGTACTATCTTTTGCAAAATGCATTAGGGCAGGGCCTGAGGCAATCATATACCACAAAGAAAAGATCAGAGATAAGCATCTTAATCTTTTATTGAAAATGAAAATTATGACTAATTTTCCCAACTTAGATAGGCATAAAAGGGAACAACATGAGCTAATTGCAGTGTGAATCAACCCAAATACTCATCTTTCATTGTTATTTTAGAAATGAACTTCTAAGTCTTAGAATTCGACATAACTCAGAAAATGAGAAAGTAACTCCTCCTTCCATGTTTAGACACAGTCATTCGTAGGGATCTTCAGTTTAACAAGGATGTTTTAATTTTTTGCAAGATTCTATTAAGAGTATAAAAGCTAACAAATGAACTCAACACAAGAGCTTCATCTCTTGGTTTGGGGCCAAGACCTACATGACCAACATAACAAGTTAACTAATCTCATGTGCTGCCACCCTGATGCAGCTTCCCAGGGGATTCTGAGGGACACTCCGCAGTTTGGTTTACAGTACGCACTTGTGCATAACTCGGACAGCCGCTGGGACTGCTCGAAGGGCGTTGCAGGACACATTCAGTTCCGTCAGGGTTGGAATATTGCAGACTGCTAATGGAAAGTCCCCTAAATGATTATTGGAAAGGTTAAGACTCTTCAATTTGGTGAACCTATTACAATAAAACAAAACAGAAGGAAAGAAAAGACAAATGTCATAGATGCATAACGTCACATAATTTTAGTACAGCCTTAGAGATAATCTAGCACAACTCTAATTCAGCTGAGGAAGAAATGGAGCCCTCAGAGGTTAAGCAAGCAACAGAGCTGGAGTGCACATCTTCAGACTTGAAGGCCAGTGTTTTACCTAAAAAACAAACATTATTTTTAAAAACAAACTGTCACTCTAAAATAAGGTTGAATACTTGAGGAGGTGAGTTCTGCTAGAGTAAAGTTTTCAGCTTTACCTCAGCCAACTTAATTAACACACATGAAATGATAACGGAGAGCGAGGAAAAGAACAGGCAGATCTACCTCTTCTGAATTTCTGTGTCATCCCAGACGAGTCAAAAACTTTTCTGCTTCACTTCTCTCAAACTCAAATCTGAAATAATAAAAACTCAGCAATTTATCAAAGCTACACTTTCTCTAAGGTAATCAAGTTTTGTAGTTCCAAATTTAAGAACCAATTATCATTCCTCAGTCTCAGTCCCATACTCGATACTATTAACCACATACCCTTCCCTGAAGTTCTTTTCATTTCACTTTATCAACATTTTCCTCACCTAGCTTTTTGCTAGCTCTCTCCAAACTTTTTCTCCTATGTTTCCTTCTTTTTTCTTCTTCATCTCCTCTTCCCTGCCCCACAGTTAAGTATGCCTCATAGATCTGTTCTTTGTCAGTTACTTTTCTCTTTCTACATTGTCTTCCTTGGAGACCCTTTTACTGTTGTGTGAGCAACCCTCTCTAACCCGTCACAGGCCATCTCTTCTCTCCTGAGCTACTCGACAACACTTCCAGTCCAAAATGGAACTTACCATCTTTATCCCAGACCAGCACTTCCTCCTGTTCTATTTTTGTTAGAGGCCCTCTCATTTTCTCAGTTGTCCAAACAGTTAAAGCAATTAAAGGAGTCACCTGTAAGTTTTACTTCTTGTGCCCAAGAGCTTATATTTGGCCCATTGCTGACCTCTACACTTTTTCTATTTGAGATGAGAATCAGATTAGTTACTGCATTATGCTAATCATGTTTAAAACTACCCCAGGCTAAATACTAGGCAGTATGTACTATGTCTACAACAGACACCCACATCTTAAAAATAAATCCAATTCAATCCAATCAGCGATTTAAAGAAACTGTCACGTGAACTATTTGTTGAATTCTGTAATAAAAAATGTTAAGCTTTGTTCTAAACAGCTACATAAAGTCTAGTCTAAGCAGAAAGCTGATAATGTGCCTATCTGACAGGTTGAAAGTGTTACCCTGATTTTTTAATAATAGCTGTTTTCTTGGGTAGACCTAAAATTAAATTAAAAAAAAAACCACTTAAGAAAGAATTACTGCTAAACCTAAATAATCACTTTTGAATTGTTTTATATTTTACAATCTAATTCATTAGGCCTTCTTAAAACAAAGAATGCTTATCCTCTATTGTGATTATCTATGATCTACACAAGACAAGCTAGAATTACAAGGTCTATTATTCCTAGTCCAGGGGTTCTCAGAGCATGGTTGTAGGATCCTGGAATAGGTCCCTGAGATCCTTTCAGGAGATTCTCAAGGTCAAAACTATTTTCATAAAATACTAAGATGCCATTTGCGTTTTGCCACTCTGATTTTCTCCCGTGTGTCCAGTGGTGGAGATTTCCAGACAGTACATGTCTTTGTGATAGCATACCCGATTGGATGCAGAAACAGATATGAGAATCCAACTATCTTCTATTAAGCCAGACACTAAAAGATTTTCAAAAATATAAAACAATGACACTCTTCTCCCTATTTTTTTTTCGTTTTAGAAAATAGTTATCTTTCATAAAATAATATGTATGTTAACAAGAATGGGTTTATTATTTTTCTAAATGAATTTATATTAAAATATTTCTCAGTTTAAATTTCTAATACAGTAAATATCAACAGATGTAATCTACATTAATAAAAGCTGCTTAGGGTCCTCAATTTTTGAGAGGGTAAAGAAGTCTTGAAATAGGGTTACCAGATAAAATACAGAACATCCAGTTAAATGTGACTTTCAGATAAATCACAAATAAATTCTTAGTATAAGTATGTCCCAAATATTGCATGGGACATACTTATACTAAAAAAAAAAATTTCATTGTTTTTTAACTGGGTGCTTTTTTAAAAATTCTAAATCTGGCAACTCTATCCTGAAATAGATGAAACTGCCGTTCTAGTCCAAACAAAAACAGTATCTTATTTTCTAGATATGTTTCCTCATTTGGTAGAACTGGCCAAGGTTTTAAAACATGCATGCAATTAAACTGAACTTTTTAAAAAAATTTCCTCTGGGAAGGAAAAAGACCTACTAGAAATTATCCTACACAATATAGTACACAGACTTTTCAGAAAGTGGAGAATGGAAGGATTACAATTTCAGTGTTTACTCAAGATGGAAAATGGAAGCACTGGCTTTTGGAAAAGTATCTGTCAATAATAGGATGGAAAAAAAGGTATATTCATATATATGCAAACAAATTTCCTAGGACCACACCCTCCTGAGAACAAAGAAAAGCAGCAGTGAGTTGAATGAGTAAAAGGCAGTTGACAAGCTTAAATGGAATTAGAGACGGAAAAAAAACCCCTCTTAACAAGTATCTTTCATTAGTTTTATTTACGTATCTTTCGCATTTTAAAATGGTCATCGATAGAAACACTACCAGACCTTATGAACTGCTCTCAGTCCCAGGGGCCAAGCGCCCCTATAGAACAAGGACTCCCTTCTGTAGAGCTGCACTGGCCAGTACCATACCACCAGCCCCAAGTGGCTGCTGAGCACCTGAAATGGGGCTAGTTCAAACTGAGACGTTCTCTAAGCATAAAATACACATGGGATTTCAAAGACTTAGTGCAAAAAAGAATGCAAACTCATCAACAGTTTTTTAGAACTGATAATTTTGATATACTAGATTAAATAAGATATCCTATTAAAATTAATTTCACCTATTTCTTACTTTTTCTAATCTGGCTACCAGAAAATTTAAAACTACTTATGTGGCTTGCATTATATTTCCATCGGAGAAGTGCTCTCTCCATACTAAGAGTTAAGTAGGACCGTGAAATTCCTTACCCAAATGACACCAGATCTGTTTTCTGGGCTTGTGTGGGCCTCTTCCCTGGGCCCACCCTCCCGTAAGTATGTGCACTCAGGGCCCTAGGGGTGAACAGAGCTTAGACACATGGGCCGCATATCCACACCCCTGCCGAGTGTAGGATTGAGCTAGAGATGGGAAGTGATTTGGGCCACGGGGCCAGCTCTGCCCATGCTGCCACACCCAGTGCAGAATCCCAAGGAATCTGAGGATCTAAATTTGAATCTAGGCTCGCAGGTCATTAGAAAAGTATATTTGTCAAGGTAGTGGGAGAGAATGTATTTTATTTAACAGTTTGTTAGCTTGATTATAACTTAAATATTTAGATATACAGTATGGGGCCTCCACTTACACTCTTGCCCTAGACCTGTATGTTTTAAGGGCTGATTCTGATTTGTGAGTACCGTAAATTTCTCCCACTACTTCTCACCACACTCCCCACCTCCCTCACGCTCCTCCCTGCACAGCCCATCCCCGAAATTCTTCCCAGAAAAGAACACAGTGTTCAGCAGTCTTGTTTAGCAAACAAAGCATGGATTGTTTCTGAGAACTCAAGTACTTGATCAGAACACATTAAAACTCATCTGTTTTGGAAACTCTAACCCTTAGCCTTCTTAGAGTTCCATTTTTTCTTTATACATGTGGAAAGCAGTCAGATTACAGGCATCTGCCAATTCAAAAACCCCTCAGAGAAAGACGAGGGAAGGTCCACCTAGAATCCACTTCCCTCAGGGTCTTAAAACGGGTGAAACAGATACCCGAAGGCAATGTTTAAGCTAAGAGAGAGACAAGTGATCAAAATGGGGAGTGGATGACCTTTCCTCCCTTTACCTTCATTCAAAAAGAATGCAGAGGAGGAAGCAAGGTGACAGTACACTGTTAAGGAAGAAAAGAAGGGAAATCTTCACGTCTCCTACAAAAATAAAAGACTTTTAGCTCTGTCATGACAACAGGTGAGCCAGATAAGTTATCAACTTAAAACTTACTCTAAAATAAAACTGGCTCGCTTTGGAAGAATACATATTCGGTGAAATATTTTAAATAATTTTATTTTAAACTAATATTACAGTTCTTAAATCTTAAAATTAAATCCTTAAAATGAAGTTACATTATACTCACTCAGGCTAGAGATATTTCCTCACAGCTGTTCAATAAGGATAAGTAGAGGAGAATCAGAGCATCACAAAATTAAAGAAAAACAAAAATTATTTTAATGATGATTGTAATAATTACAGTGGTCAGTTTAGTAATAATAAGGAATGATTCTTTTTGATGCTTTAGAAACTAAAAAGACAAGAAACTGTGGTTTGTTTTATAAAAACATCTGTTATACATGCATACACACACACAGCACCAAGGCTACATAAAGTTACTAAAGTGGATGTATCTTCCTTATTTCTCAGGGTTATCAAAAGTGAGAAGAAGCCTTTGAGGTCATTTTCTTTCATTTCCCAAGCCCAGAGATGAAGAAATTAGGCTCAGAGAAATTTTATTAACGTTGCATACAACTTGGGGGCTGGCCTGGTGGCGTAGTGGTTAAATTCGTGCATTCTGCTTCAGCGGCCCAGGGTTCATGGGTTCATAGCCCAGGCATGGACATATACCACTCATTAAGCCATGCTGTGGCAGCATCCCACATACAAAATAGAGGAAGACTGGCGTAGATGTTAGCTCAGGGCCAATCTTCCTCACCAAAAAAGACAAAAAAACATTGTATTACTGTTGCATACAACTTGAATCTACTGCCTTTCAACATCAGTACTACTTCTTATCTCTCCTGCTCTTCTATTACATCTTATTAAAGAGTTAAATATAAGTAGATATCAATTACTAATAATTGTAAGTC